ATTGGGATGATGATGACGAACCCGTGGCTGCCATGTGAGCGGCACACGGCTGACACGCAGTGGCAAGCGAGAGATTTGCATGTTCCCCGAGTGCTGCAACCTCTGTGACCTTCCCTGCTGCCCTGGGCTGATCCCAGCTGCCCCAGCGGGGAATCGGTCTGGTTTTGGGACAGACCCCGGGCAGCTGGTGGGGATCTCAGTGCGAAAGGGAATTGTTACCTGCCTTGTCTGTGTAAAAGAATGGTAGCTGCTGCTGTTGCAAAGCGCAGACGTTATATGGCAGTTGGGAAATTGCAGGGCAAAGGAAACCCATCTGCCATGAACTTCATTCTGGCGTGTCTGCGGGTCGCCGCAGCCTGGACCTGCCCACCCTGCCGAGAGCGGAGAGGCCCCGGTGAGGGGCAGGGGTAGGCGAAGGTCCTCCAGAGCTGAAAGTGCTGCTGTTCCGTGTAGCCTTGGGGAGCACAGCACCAACCAACCCCCGTCCCCCTGTGGCTGCTCACCTTTGATGCTGGCTGGTGGCGTCTTTTCGCAGCCCAGCTGTGTGCCCTAAAGGCCGTCTGAGACACGGGGTGCTCTCACAGGGGATGCGGCTTTCCGTGCCCCCCCATAGCGCAGAGCACTGACCCTTCTGCTCTCTGGGGAATGCAGGCCCAGTCCCAGGTGTACGGAGGGGTCACGTACTACAACACTGTCCAGCAGCAAGTGCAGCCCAAGCCTTCTCCACCTCGAAGGACGTCCCAGCCTGTGACTATCAAGCCACCACCTCCTGAGGTACTGTCCCCTCGGTGTGGGTCTGCGCGTGATGCTGTACCGTTGGGGTGCGCGCGATGCTGCAGTCTCCCTCTCCCATCCAAAAAATACGTTGTTCCAAGGAAATCTTAAACTGTCTGATCTTTGACATGTCCCAAACCTCAGCTTCTCGTTGCAGGTGGTAAGCAGGGCTCCAGTTAATTTGAGTTTCTAAATACTTTAAAACTAAACCCACGTAAAAAGTAAGTCCAAAGTTGACTCTTGCTTTTTTTTTTTTTTTTTTTTAAATTTGCTCAGGGTAGAAACAAAACACTTTATAGAGAGGAAAATCCAGTCCTAAGCTAGGAGGCAGTGACTTCTCTGAAAGAATAAATGTCGAGACCTTAGCAGCTAATTCAGGCAGTAGACTTGAAGGCTTTCCAGAGATGAGAGCCGTTTCTCCGTGCTGGGAATGGTTTCCTTGCTTCAGCGCTGTGAGCTGTGCGTGTGTGTGCACGTGCCAGTGTGCTCTGTGTGTGTGTTCAGTTTCCTTTTTAATACCTTGCTTAGCGTATGGGAGCTGAGCAAGCCTGAATCATGGCAAGCCCAGACCCGGGCAGGCATGTGCTGGTTGTTTCTCCGTACGCAGGGAGGCGGCGTGCGGCGTGGTAGAGGGCTGGGAAACCAGGCGGTGTTTGTAAATCCGCCCTGAGATCATCTGATCAAGGTTCCCTTTGAAAGACCTCACGATGGGAAAATGTTTAACCACGAGGAGAGCTTGGCTGAAGGGAGCTGGTTGTGCCCAGAGCGGGCACGAAGGAAGCTGGAAGCGTGGGCGGGTGGCAGTTGCGTTTTGGCACCCAGATGTGGAGGGTGTTTGCTTGCAGGACCCTGGCAATAGCACCGCAACCCCTGCGCGGCGTTTGCGGTGGGGCAGCCTAATCCTCTGCTTCTCTTTCCTCTTCCCCACCAGGACAGCAAAGGTGAAAAATCAAAGGAGAGGAGCAACACGTAGGGATGCGGCCGTGGGAATCCCAATGCCAGACCCGGCACCTTGGCGAGGAGGAAGCTCCTTCTCGGGAAAGGCTCCTTCCCTGTGCGTAGGTGAGGCAGCGGGATGAAATCAGCTGCACCGTCTTGTGCTCAGGGCCAGGCACCTTCCCTCTCTGGTTTTACCAGTGCCCTCCCAAAAACCATCTCGCCGCTGATCTGCCCTCCTTCCCTCTCCCTCACTGGGGCACAGAGGTCACCGAAGAATCAACCCCCGGAGTCGATCCTTGGCCACAAGTTCTCGCGACTTCTCTCTTTTACTAAACGTCTGCCCTTTTCCCTCTCTAGGATGTTAAACTCAACTGGCTTGATTGTGGTCTCTGTTTTTATTTAAGAAATGAACCAGCTCCTTCAGTAAAGCTGATTTGTTTCTTTTGGGTATTTTGAATTTGTTTGTCTGGCTAACCGGAACGTAACATCCCCTGCCCCCC